TCAGATCCTTCAGCGGAATGCTGGAGGGATGTCACAGGACAAAAAGATCCGAGTACAGAAAATCCTACAAACCTTTGATGTAGGCATTTTCACAATTATGGAAGCAAACATTTCGGATGACAAACTGAGGTACTACCAACTCCCAGGTTACACCCTGTACCTTCTACCTAAATACCGGCAAGATGCAAGTTGAATTCTAACTGGAGTAAAAGAAAGCCTCACCTCACACTACGATCTAATCAAGAGTATGGGCTTGACACAGGACAAATGTGAAATAATCAGATTAAATGTTTGGAAATGTCAAAACCACTTCATGGTATATGCAGTCTATAATCCACCCCAGAATTGTCCTAACTTTGACTTTCTGAACATCTCACACAAAACTGTAGTATTTGGGAGACTTCAACGCCCATTCCACCAGACGGGGCTACAAGGATATAAGCATAGCTGGAAAGGAAATCGAAGACATGCTAAACAGCAACCCTCTGGAACTTATTTACAGCAATGAGGATCCGGCTACATATTTGTACTACAATGAAACCAGAACAACTCCTGACTTACTCCTGGCTTCAAGCGACATCAGCGAGCATACACGTCGCAAAATAATTGACGATCCTGGTTCTGGTCACAAACCAGTCATTGCTAGTATTATCATCGACAGCAAAAGCATGACAAGGAAAGTGCCCACTAAGTTATCATGGAAGTTCAAGAAGGCTGACTGGACTAGATTCATAAGCCTTTTAGAGAATGAAATTCCACAGGTCCCCTAAACTTCATCCAACATCCTGAAAAACTTTGCACTGTTATCACGAATATTATGATCAGATGCGCAAAGAAAACAATGCCATTATCACGAATATTATGATCAGATGCGCAAAGAAAACAATGCCATGAGGCAAGACTAAACACTATCGAGTGTTTTGGTCTAGACACATTGAGGAACTGAAAAGAAAGAGGGACAACCATCGCAACACGGTTGATCCGACTGAAAGAATGGAAGGCGTACAAGCCTGGAGACGACAATCAGCAGTCCTAAGGCAAGCCATCTTACAAGCAAAACGGACTTCCTTCGAAAAGTTCATCTCTAATATCAACTACCAAAATTAAAGCCAATGCAATTTCAAATTCCTAGGTAACCCCTAAAACAACAGAGAAAAAAACAAGAAAGAACCAATACGTTTGAAAACAAACTGCTAACCACCGACTTCGAAATAGCTAACTGCTTTTTGAGGTTCTATTCCCACAAGCAAAAGAAAAACACCTTTGTCAGAAAATCCTCAAGAGATTTAAAGATTCAAGTAAGATGGTTGGGTGAAATTAAGGAAGACGCAACACCAAATAATGTATTTACTGAACCATTCCGACCGTGCAAACTTAATGCTGCGACAAAACAGCTCAAGTGCAAACAGTCGCCGGGGTATTCATCCAGAATTTCTAATTAGAATGGGTCCAAAAGAATCCATCCGGAATTTCTAATTAGAATGGGACCAAAAGCCAAGTCCGGAATTTCTAATTAGAAAGGGACCAAAAGCCAAGGAAATGCTTTACAACAAAATCTGGGAGACCAGTCTTGTACCAAACCGTTCAATAAAATCTGGGAGACCAGTCTCGTACCTAACCAATAGAAATTTGCCATAGTAATACCAGTACTGAAAAAGGGCAATGGCCCTAGCAAGTTTGGCAACTATAGGCCTCTCTCCCTCACAAGCGTGCTGGCTAAACTTATGGAAAGAATGGCTAACAAGAGACTGACCTGGTTCCTTGAGACTAACAATATTCTTAGGAGTGAACAAGCAGGTTTTAGGCCACAAAGATCAACGAACCAACAAGTAGCCACTTTCTCCCAACTCATAAAAGATGCCCTTGATGCAAGAAATACCCTTACGGATGTTTTCGTCGATTTCAAATCAGCATATGACTAAAGTAATGGAAAGAATGGTTAACAGGATGCTGACGTAGTTTCTTGAGACTAACAATATTCTTTGGAGTAAACAAGCAGGATTTAGGCCACATATTGGGTCGGCAACTAAGTCATTGCCGTTTTTGTTGACGGATTCACTCTATACTTTCTTTTGTTTTGTTAACGTGGCCAGAGCATCTAACCAATATTTTTTTCTTACTGTATGGGCTTCTAGGTTAATTAGTAAAAAATTTTTTGTTTAGTTCTTTAGGTTTGTTTTTATCCCAATTTAAAAATGGAAGAACAGGACGTGCACTTCCGACACATTTTATTGTATTACTTCCGAAAAAGCAGGAACGCATCGCAAGCACAAAAGAAGTTATGTGCCGTATATGGAGATGAAGCCTAAAAAGAAAGGCAGTGTCGAAATTGGTTTGAAAGATTTCGTTCCGGTGATTTTTCACTGAAAAATTCACAACGATCTGGCCGCCCAGTCGAAGTGGATGAAACCCATATCAAGGCCATTATCGATTCAGTTCGTCACAGCACAACACGAGATATTGCAGAGAAGCTCAATGTGTCGCATACATGCATTGAAAAAAAAATGAAAAACCCTTGGTTATGTCAAGAAACTTGATTTATGGATCCCTCACCAGCAGTTAAAGGAAATTCATTTGACGCAACGGATTAGCATCTGTGATTCGTCGCTACTGAAACGCAATGAGAATGATCCATTTCTGAAGAACCTNGGTGCGACAACAATGGAATGGCAATCAACATCGCAAAATCTGAATTCCAAACATTTATTTGGCCCGTCACAGTATAGACCTGCTTCTTAGGTACAAGGATACTACCATAGAAAAACACAATGAGTTCACAATTCTCGGAATGACTTTTGACACAAAGCCAACGTGGAAAAGTCACATTGCTAAAATAGCAGAACGAGACGTGGAAAAGTCACATTGCTAAAATAGCAGAACGCGTCTCCCATGGAAAAGTCACATTGCTAAAATAGCAGAACGAGTCTCCACTAGACTGAATGTACTGAAGCGTCTTGCTGGTAGCGTATGGCGCCTGTAGCGCTCAACTCTAGGACCATTCTCTCAAACCCCTCGAGAAGGCACACAGCCACAGAGGTGACTCCCAAACCCCTCGAGAAGGCACAGAAAGCCACAGAGGTGACTCTCAAACCCCTCGAGAAGGCACACAATCAAGCCAGAGATGACAAGATGTTTATTCAGCCAATAATGTTGTATTTCTGTAACCCACTCATTACAGCCACAGAGGTGACATTCAACTGTGAGCCACTCATTACAGCCACAGAGGTGACTCTCATATCAATACGAGAAGGCACACAACCAAGCATTACGACTAATTACTAGAGGAATAGACGGCCACAAAAAGCATTACGACTAATTACTGGAGGGATAAACTCAACACCTATTGATGCAACGCTCATAGTAACAGGGACCACCACAATAGGTTACCTTATAAAAGAGAAGGCCTTGAACTTGTATGAGAAGCTACTGCGCATTCCCATGGATAAGTTCTTCAGCACATATGAGAATGGACCAAGACATCTGAAAACGCAATCTGGTCTAATACCGAAAGCCATAGAACTGAAGAAAGTATTACAAATCGATGACAAACCAAAAAGCCTCTCTCTACGCTGAACCCATTAGCAGACACTGATGTAGTGTGTTGCACCCAACTGCTTGACTTCTTTAGAAAATCAAACACCCTTTCAGAGCAAATGCGCTCACTGGCCCTTGAGACAATCAATGTCAACTATCCTGCAGATCAATGGCCCCAAGTCTTCACTAATGGGTCATACATAGAAAACCAAGCAAACGTTGGTTCAGGTGTCTATTTAGAACTCTTCTCTTACTACACACCAGCGGAATACAATAGATCCGCTTTAGAAGGAGAAATAAAGGCCATTAGAATGGCACTATGCAAATTATGTTGATTGGATACAAAATCCACCAAAGCATTAATGCTTTCGAACTTACAGTCAGCAATCAACTCTATTGGAAACAGAGAGCCACCCAAAACAACTGAGATATACGTATGTAAAAATCTCTATCAGATGCTGAGAGAAAAAAACAAAACAGCGTTCCGACAATGGATTTCTGGTCACTGTGACATTAAAGGCAATGAGCTCGCTGACACACTTGCTAAGATGGGGACAACGATTTTGCAATGCATGGACCGGCCGATGTCTTCCCTCGCAATAAAGGCCTTAATCAGGAGAGAATTACAGACCTCAAGGTTCAACGAACTGAAAGCTCGAACAAAGGAGAAACAGTGGACAGTGGCACTCTCCGACATACCCGACTGGCCAAGAATCGAGGCCGTTGCTTAGTTTAGACTACGTACCGGACACGATTGCTTGTCAAAACATCTTCACAGATTGGGAGTATACACATAAACTCACATGCCCTCTATGTAACCTACAGGAGGAAATGGAGAAGACCCACCTGATTCGGTGTCCAACCCTATAGACAACGACGGAAATCCAGAGATACTGGGAAGCAAGAAGACATCTATTGAACTGCTAGTAATTAATTGCTATAAATGTACCCCCCAACCTTGGGGGAAGCCGAAGTCAAAATTTAAGGGCTAATGATAATATCACAAAGCCTGCCATTTGAAATAATAATAATAATAATGATGATTGGCCACTGTTTGTACGGTCGCCGCACACAGAGAAGCAGGGCCGTACCTACCAGTCCTGGCGAGCAGACTTGCAGGCACACGATGACGCACAGAGTGATAACGTGTCCCACAAGCTTGTCAAATGAGATATCACTTAGGATTTATAGCTTCATTATTAAAAATAGATCTTTATTCGTGGAAAATCTTGTTTGTTATTAGCTATTAAAATTATTGTTTATTATAAACGTAAAACCCATGTGGATACTTGATTTTTCCAATATAAACCAATCCAGGGTATATCATATCACCAATCATTTCTGTTGATTAACAACCAAGCGCCATTATTTTACTAACTTCGTTGAATTGACAATTAAACATTGTTTGCTTGATCAAAAATACATTTCAAAATAAATCTATTCAACTTGAGTTAATTTCGATTACCTCTATATGATGTTGAAGCTGGGTGGCTATAACAAATTACCATAAAATTGAAATAATCAAATAATGAAATATTAGCATTCAATAATCAGAAAGAGATCGTAGATGACAAGCCTTAGCTCGAAATATCATGCATTTTTAACATTATTGCCAAAAATGATAACAATCCAAAAACCACAAACGCTATAGAATGCATATTATTTTGGCATATATAGCAGTTAAAGCAAGGGAAGACTGCATAAATGGAAAATTATCGACATTTCCATAGTATCCAAACACGCCAAATGAGTACTGATAATATTGTTAACTTGATCCTCCATACTCTATTTGTGTGTATGTGATAAAATTCATGTCCTTTCGATTTATTGGTTATGTGAAGTCCCTTTCAAAAATCGTATCTAGATTTATGTCATTTGAATTTCAATCATAAAGGTGAGAATTCTTCCAAAACGTTAAATTCCGTGTCAAATACTACTTGAACGGGTAAGTAATATTGATGTTCAAGTAAGATGCATTTCAATGCATTATTACTCAATGAAAAAGTGAATTCCATGTTCTTACTTCAATGATATTTTCGTGAAATCTCTTCTCTATTTTACCCACATTAGCGTGCTTGCTTAAAAGAATGACTAAAAATAAATTTTCCAATTTTGAAATAATTCGTAAATGCAAAAGTTGGCACGAATATTTTGGTTTATTCGAGCTACCTTCAAGAAATTTGCATTCACATGCANCTTCGTTGAATAATCTTTAAACTTAGAAATTGAAGACATA